CTGCCCTTCCCTCCTCGTCCTTCTTGGCTTGGCTAACTTCCACATGCACCATTTGTTCCTTTTCTAGAAAACAAAAATACAAAAAGCACGACCTACACAGGGACGGACACTCACTCACTGTCCTGGAGTGACAGCTGGCATTTGGTTAGCCTCTCTGCAGTGCTTATTTGGTTTAGGGACTGCCTCCCAAGCTGTGCCTCGACACCCCGAGTGGCGAGAGTTTGCCAGTGACCAGTCCACATCATCCCTTTCTGGCTGTGCCCAAGTACCTAGTCTTACATGACATGGACCTGTGTTTACTGGAACACTGGGGGCCAGAAGGCTTGTGGCTCTGATGCTCCTTTGGTTTCCAATATACCATTTTTGTTTGTTTGTTTTTCATGACAGGATTTCTCCCTGTCTTGGTGTCTGTCTTGGATCTCACTCTGTAGACCAGGCTGGCCTCGAACTCACAGAGATCTGCCTGGCTCTGCCTCCCGGGTGCTGGGATTAAAGGCGTGTGTCACTGCCGCCCAGCTATACCATTATCTTTGTGTGACCTGTTGTGACACTGGCACTTTATTTAGGCTGGTGGCAAATTCCCCCACCCTGGGAAGTCTCCCAGTCTCTTCCTGAAGGTGGTCAGAGGTAGGAGATCCTGTGCACACCACAGTCCAGGCTGCAACTCTTCCAACACACAGTATTGGGATAGCATGCCTTTCCAAGACCCTTGAGGGTGGGGGGTGGAATCCTGATTACTTTTAGGGCACTGCTGAGGACTGAAGGTGGGGGACGACAGGATGAGACTCAACAAATGCCAAGTCACTCGTCATTCTTGTCTTCCCTGTAGCCAAGTACCCAGCCATCAAGGCCCTGATGAGGCCAGACCCCCACATCAAATGGACAGTGCTGGGAATGGTGCTGGTGCAGTTGCTGGCCTCCTGGCTGGTGCGGGGGCTCTCTTGGCGATGGCTGCTGTTCTGGGCTTATGCCTTCGGTGGCTGCATCAACCACTCGCTGACACTGGCCATCCATGACATCTCACACAATACTGCCTTTGGCACAAACTTTGCCTCCCGCAACCGCTGGTTTGCCGTCTTCGCTAATCTGCCCATTGGCGTACCCTATGCCACATCCTTCAAAAAGTACCACGTGGACCACCATCGTTACCTGGGTGGCGACGGGCTGGATGTGGACATTCCCTCGAACTTTGAAGGCTGGTTCTTCTGTACGCCGGCCCGCAAGCTGCTCTGGCTGGTGCTCCAACCTTTCTTCTACTCGTTACGGCCCCTCTGTGTGAACCCCAAGGCGGTGACCCGTATGGAGATGCTCAATACCCTGGTGCAGCTGGCAGTCGACATGACCATTTTTGCCCTCTGGGGGATCAAACCCATAGTCTACCTGCTAGCCAGCTCCTTCCTGGGCCTGGGCCTACACCCTATCTCTGGCCATTTTGTGGCTGAGCATTATATGTTCACGAAGGGCCATGAGACTTACTCCTACTATGGGCCTCTCAACTGGATCACCTTCAATGTGGGCTACCACATGGAGCACCATGACTTCCCCAGCATCCCCGGCTGCTACCTGCCACTGGTAAGTGCTCAGCCTAGGCTCAGCGGGCAAGGGAGGAATGAGGAGGGTAGAGAAAGACTCTGCCATTCCCAGGCTGACTTTTCTTTGTGGGTTGCTAAGGGGATGGCTACTCACTTTTGGAGTGCTTGCCTGGAGATAGAGGAGGCAGATCCAGATAAGACAGTGTCTCAAGGCAGATGCAGATCAGCAGCTTAGGTTAACGTACGTACAGCTGCTGGAACCCTGCTGATGGGACCTGCCCATCCTGCGTCCCTGCTCCAGTACTTGGGCCGTACTTGGGCTTCCTTTTCTGTATCAGTGGACACCATGGGAAGCACTCTGCTTTCTGTCTCCCGCCTACTGCTGCTCACTTCCTGTCCCAGCCTGGTAACAGTACGGGCACCCCGCTCCCAGCTTGGAGCTGGCCAGATAGCGGAAGTGTAGTCTTGTCCTTACAACCTATGGGGACTGGTTATAGCTATGGGGGGGGGGGGAGGCTGGGGTGGAGGTGTGAAGGTTCAGATAGAGGAACCGGAGGCCTTGAATGCCAATGGCTGTTACATAGGTGTGGCAAGGGGCAGCAGTGGGGGAGGGTTCTCATTCCTGAGTATGTTTGTATGTCCTTCTTGGGTGCCCAGGTGTGTGTGTGTGTGTGTGTGTGTGTGTGTGTGTGTGTGTGTGTGTACATTTGAGAAGGAGGCAGAGGTTAAAAGGGATAGCATGTTTCAGAGGCCACGCTTGAGTCCACGGAGGCCGCCTCGGACAGGCAGAGGCAGTCTTCACAGAGCACCTGCTGTGGGCTGGAGAGGAGGCTGCCTGCTGGACCCATTTCAGATGTGGAGCAGTGCCTTCCCTGGGGAGGTGGGAGGATGATCTCCGCAGCAACGTGGTGTTCTGGTTACAGGGGCTGTGGCCAGAACACTCCCTGGGGGAGGGGTAGACACTGCACATCAGGTCAGGGTAAAGGCTGGGTGTGGACACACGTGTTAGGTGAGGAAGCTGCAAAAGCCGAAACCCACAGCCTGGCAGAGCACAGGACGCTGGGGTGAGGAGTGAGGGTGCTATTCAAGGTCGGCAGGTGCAGGCCTCAGAACTCTGCAGGACCATGATGGACCCACCTTGACCTTTTGGATTAGAACGTTGGTGGGTTCTGAGGTGGGGCACTCAGGCTGTGATGCCTTCCCTGTTGGGGCCTCCTTCACCTGCAGCTGGTGTGTGTGTGTGTGTGTGTGTGTGTGTGTGTGTGTGTGTGTGTGTGTGTGTGCGTGCGTGTGCACGTGCGCGCGCGCGCGTGTGCACTCACAGTATGTGTGCTAGAGTACCAGCCAAGGTGCAGCCTTGACCCCAACCCCTCTCCACAGGTGCGGAAGATTGCCCCCGAATACTACGACCACCTGCCGCAGCACCACTCCTGGGTGAAGGTGCTTTGGGACTTTGTATTTGAGGACTCTCTGGGGCCCTACTCCAGGGTTAAGCGCAAGTATAAGCTGGCAGAGGACCGCCTGTGAGCCCTGCCGGCCAGCAGTCCCGAGTGGGCAGCTCCACGCCTCTTGCCCCCACTTCCGCGGGCCAGGGCCACAGAACATCTGGCTACATCAGCTCCTGCAGTCTAGGCTGCCTCTGGCCCTGCTGGGCCCAGCGACAGGGGATGCAGGCTGTGGTTGGAGGAACCAGGCTTACCTAATCTCTCTGGGCCTTCCCTCTGACTAGGATACTCGGTGTCTGTGGTCCCACGGAGCTGGTTTCTCTGTTCTTGTGCCCTAGATTAAATCTAACATTTGTCTTTATAGTCAATGTGTTGTCCTTCTTTTGGGCAGGATGGAGTCTTGGCCTGAACCTGAGCTTTCAGAGAATGAGGCCTAAATCCAGGTGGGTGAAGGTCAGCCCCATGACTGTGTCTAGAAGGGTGTGTCCCTGAGGCCTCTGCCACCATGGAGAGTCTATAGATATGGACTGCAGAAGGTCCCTCCAGGCCACAGGACAGCTCTACTTTAGGCCCTTTGACCCGTGAAACCCTCCTGGGCTTGTTCAGGGTCAGGCTGGCAGTGTAGGATCCACATCCTTGGACAGGTCCGGGTCAGGCTAGCTCATCTCCCCGCATCCTACATGGAACTGACTGGGCAGTGTCTTTGTGTGTTATGTGAACTGGGAGTGGGTCATAAATACTGATGTGATGGCACAGCTGTGTCTAGAGAGGCAGCTTTGGTTAGTGGCCTGGTCCTGAGGGGCTGGACCATAGTGGGTCCTGGTGTCCAGAGCAGGTGGCAGCAGTATGCTGGGAGGGTCCCTTTGCAGTCAGGGACAAGAGTGGGCCTAGCCGCACAGCTCCCACTACATCCTGAGCTTGTGGTACGAGGCGTGGCCAATGACAGCACCACAGAGGCAGCCAGGGAAGGAGGGTGCGCTTCAGCCCTTGCCCCATGCCTGGGAGTGGCCCTGTGTTCCAGGAACAGGTGTCTCTGAGTAGTGTGACTGTTGAGATGACTTAGAAGGCCTGGTCCAAGAACTTCTGAGACATGAGGACTTTGAGACGAGGCAGGTGGCTTCTTCCTGTGCACACAAGCTTCTCCAGGAGTTGAGGGGACTCCCAGTGAGGCCAGCTGCCATCCACGGCCCTGGCTGAGCCCCACTGCACCTGGCCCACCAGCCTACTTCCTGCAGACAGTGCCATAGGCCTCTGCAGGACCTCCCCTCATGTCAGAGGTCTGCGGTACCTCTGAAGGAGTTGTGATTAGGCTATGCTGAGGACATTTTGGGAGAGGCTGGGTAGGAGGGCTGTAGCAAAGTACCTCTCAAGTATGTGGAGTGTACTGCCTTGGCCAGGCCCAACAATCACATTCCTGGCTTTTAGGGTGATTGGAACTCAATGATATGGAATGTGCCAAGGATCTCACCCCGTCCCTTCCTACCCAGTCCTCAGCATGAGCACACCAGTAGGCATTCTGCTCTATGATCCCGGTGGCCATGGGAGGTCACATGGGGAATGGGCACAAGGCTCCAGTTGCTAGTCTCCTGACCATATGGACATGGCCCTTGGGACCAAGGGTCAGAGGCTCTCTGTAGCTACAATGAAGATTAAGGGCTGGGACTTCCCTAGGTTACCATGGATTGTTCTTCTCAGCTCCCTGAGCCCTGGGCCCACTTCCAGCACTTGACAGGCAGATTGCACATGGAACCCTTGAATCAGGGCTGTGTTACGGTCAGAGCCCACCTACCTTGTGACCCTGGGGCTATATGGCTCCCCACAGGCAGGACCTGAGCTCAGCTCCACATGTAGGAGCCTGGCCATATTCTTGGGTCCTGGGGACGTTTGATGGGGTCCAGCTGTTCTCTGATGCCCCTCTTGATCTCTTTAGTCCTGCACACTCTTGTCTGGGTACTCACTGTAAAAAGGCACCCCACCAAGGCAGCCAAGAGCCGACGCATGAGAGAGCAAGCCCGAGCCCGAGTGTGGACAGTGAACGGTTTATTTATTATCGTGTGGACATAACACGCACTGCGTGGACAGACTGAAACACCATGGCTGCTGGGTCTGAGCTGTATTCTGACAGCTCTGTGGCGTGGAAAGGCCACACTGCACCCAGCTGCTCACTGCCAGCTGAGGAGCTAACAGTGTCACCTAGGAGAAAACTTGGAAGCCATCTAATAAAGCAGGTGATTTCGGGGTGTTCTCTCTATAAACCAAAGAAATGTACACTTAAATAAGCAAATATAAAATACAAAAAAGAATAGACCCGGTGTTCTGTGTCAGATACGCTAAAAATCCAGGAGTTGAAGTTTGTCTCCTCATTTTAATATTGTATCACAGGTTGAGACTCAAGCACATCCCAGCTTCTGCAGGCTCGCTGTGTGCTGGGGAGAGCACGGCTCCTCGCGGTCCTCCAGGGCTGGCGCCATCTTACGTGGTGCTGATCCCACTTAGCTCCTGCCTGATGGCTAAGGGCAGGACAGGAGAGGGAGGTTCAGTGTAGCAGGGAAGCACCCTGTTCAGGCTGCCAGAGACCACACACGGGCTAGAGGTTCACCAGCAGGGCAGCTTTGACAGATCTTTGGGGAGACAACCCAGACCTCATGTGCTTCCGCCCCTAATGATAGACTTGAAAAAGCCAAAGGCTATGCCTTGCTTCAGAGCTTCCTCGGGGTGCTGTGGGAGGGACCCAGGTCTTCCTAGAGTCTGACAGGTGAACACCCACATCTGCTCAGAGGCCCTTGAGTCCCTCCCCACACAGGGTGGAAGCTGGCACAGCCTGTCTAGTGAGTGTGGCACAGCAGGGGTCTCTGGCCACAGAGCTGTAGACTGTGCTGGTGCCATGGCCCAGCCTTTCTCCTCTAGGGCTGGCTCTGTTCTGCCTGCATGACCCTTCCCAAATGCTCTTCCTTCCTCTGGCCCTTCATCCTGTTTCTTCCCCAGAGCTGGGCTCCCTTCTCTGAGCTCCCTCCCTTCCCCTCTTCCTTCACAGGCCTCTGGTACGCTCACAGTGGACAGACCTGGCTGGAGCCAACAGCCAGAGAAGGGCCACCATTAAGTGATAGGATCTTTGCAGGGCCAGCACCCTCACACTTTTCTGCGGGCTCTTAGCATGGGCCACACGATGATGGCAGGCAGTGATGGAAGCTAGGCTCTCACCACTGCCTGTCTCTTCCCAGGCAGCTCTCTTGAAGACAGCTTGACTATGCTTGGGGTTTCTGACTGTTTCCCCAAGTCCCAGAAAGGGAGCCCCCCAAGACTGGAACTGTGGGGCATCAGTAAGGCAGTGAACTGCTCCATAGCTGTGCTGTCCCCTCCCCGCATCATGAACACTCTCCTAGACTTGTCCTCTGGTGGGACTGGACTGACAGAAACTGTGGCCTCGGTGGCCAAGGAGTGTGGCTAGTATAGCCAATGGCTGCTATTGGCTGCCAGGCCTCGGCAGCACCTCTGTGCACACCTTCCCTTGGAGCCTGCATTAGCTGCCCCTCTGGCTTCATAGGTCCTTCTAGCTCGGCTCACTGCTGAGAGCCTGGGCACCAGTGATGGTGGGGGACCAGGGATGGGGGCAGGCTGTGCTTTCTGCTCTGTTCCGGCCCAAGCCAGCTCCTTAAAGGCCCTGGTGGGGACTGTGAGCATCACAGTCCTGCTTTCTGGAGCCAGGGGCTCCCTAGACAGGGTCACACAGGCTGTGAAGGAGTCAGGCACTCTCTAGAGACAGCAGCAACAGGAAGGTTGGACAGGCAACAGACAAGGAAGGGACAGAAACTCGGAGGGCGTCTCCAAGCCCACCCTCTCCTCCACAGGGTGATCTTCTGGGAGGAAGCTGAGGCAAGGAGGGTCTCAGACACAGAACTCCACCCCCACCCCCAGGGAGAGGTGCATTCTCAGTAATCCACTTCACTTTCCTGAGCCCCAGTTTCCACAGCTACAGATGGGGTGATGTGGGATGGGGGGGGCAGTGAGCTCACCCCTGGCTGGAGTAGCCCCTACTCACCGTCAATGATCTCCTCTTTTACCTTGTGGAGCTCTCGAACCACCTCCTCCAGGATTTCCTGCTGGGCAGAATCTCAGAGTGAAGAGACAGATGATGACTGCAGGGGTCTCCTCAGCCAGGCCCTGCTCTCAGCACCCCTCAGTCATGATGGAGGGGGCCCAGAGGCAGGCTGCAGGGTGCCCAGGCACTCCCTTTTCCTCCCCTGGCCAGCTTCCTGCCTTTGTGGCAGTCAAGCATGGGACCCGCTAGAGACAGTCCCCAGCCTGCTGAATGCTACTGGCTCTCACCTGTTTCATCCTGTCCAAATCTAAGGCATCCAGGCCCACATCGTTTACACTCCCGGCAGGCTTCACCCTGGAGGAAGAACGGTAGGTGCAGGAGGGTGGGTGCTGGGGTCTACAGGCACCCATGCTGGGGAAGCTTGAGGTGTCAGAGACCTCTGCTTAGCGTCCAAGAACCACCTGCTCTCCAGCCCTTCTGCTGTAGGGGTGCTGGGAAAGGACGTGAATGTCCTGTCCTTTACAGGTCTCCTCAATCCCTTAACCACATTTCCCAGTCCGGGTCAGGACATGGGGCCACACAGGAGCCATCTTCTGGCTTGACAGGCCTTAGGTAGAGGAGGCAACTGAGAAAAACAGCATTAGTGCCTCCTGTCTCCCTGGAGAGAATCAGCACTGACAGCATCTTCCTCCACATGGGCTTGTGTTCCAGCTGACCTCTGGTTGGTGAAAGCCAACAACTGCAGCAGTGGAATCGTAGTTAGCTCCATGCTGAGGGTACCATCCTAGGCCGCCTCCCAAATGTCTGTGCAATAGATTCTCTCTCACCCAGAGGGAGGCCTGGCCGGCCTCTCCAAAGCTCCCACCCGAGACTACCTCTACCTCTGCCCTCAGTCTT